CAGGAGCCTGGTGGTGGCTGCTGCCAGCTGTGGCTGTGCTGGGCTCAGCTCCCCTCCTGCACCCGTGGCCCAGTGGAGCAGGAGGAAGAGCAAAGTGGAGAAACTCAGTGCTCTTAATGTAATTTACAGTGCTCCCAGTCTGGTTACTTCATCCCTCAGCCCGTCCCAGAAAAGTGCCATGTAGGTGTCAGGTGCAGCAGATAAAGCAAAGCTACGAGTGCCATTGTTGTTTTTGGTTTTGTGTGTCTGTTCTTTCCTGGCTTTACTCAGCTTGGTGGTCTCATCAAGGGACTCTATTTTCTCCCTTTATTACCACGGTCTTGATCAACAATGTGTGCATGCACTGGCTTTCTAGGACTAGAAATGAGAAGTTTATCACCAGTGACATCCTAGTGAAAAGTGTTACATTCTGTCTACAGGCAGAGGTGGGAAGTATGGTAGATCGTGTAAAGGATAATACAGATCATGGAAATGTAGGTGGGCTAATTCCACAGAAGTGTTGCTGAATATTTGGGATAAAGGAAGAATTTGTCAGTAAATTCACCTCTGACTCTTCATCTTCACATCCTGTGTCACAAGCCCTTCTGATTCATGTTGACTTGATGAGCTGGAAGAACCTGCTGAGCCTGTGATAGCTATGGCCAGAGGATTAGCAGCTTCTTTCTTTCTGCAATTCTGTTTTTAGACTGGGATACATCTTTACTGAAGATTAGCAGCCTGGTGGGTTGAGGAAATTAAATTTCACAAGGGCTGCAAACTGGAAGCACATATTCAGAGGTGTGAAAATGAAATGGGGAGGTTTTAGTATAGTCTTAAAGAGCGGATCTTATGGCTTGGAGCCTTGGGGCTTTTCTGGAGGTGTGGTTATTACAGAGTAACAGGTGATGTGACTTCAAAGGGGAAATTCCAGAATAATTCCTAATCTGGCACTCTTGTCCTAGAATAAGGTGTCCTTTTCTGATTTAATTTAACTTTTGTTGATTTCGTTTGAAAATATATGTTGGCCAATATATTGATTGCAGAGAAGCTGGTGGCAGGGCTGGCTGACATGGCTCATCAGCCCTTGGGTGTGTGTCCTGGCAGATTCCTGCTGTGTGTTCATCCTCCTCCTCCTCCTCGGGGCAGTGCTGTTCACGGTTGTGGTACAGGCTCTGCAGGATCCCCTTCAGATTCTGCAAGTGTCCCCCTGAAAGAAGCAGCAGCTGCATTTGTGGGCTCTGCTCATACATTATGAGCAGCAGGAGATGCCAGCAGGTTTTTCTCCTTCTACTCACTCCGGTCGTCTTGTGACCTCTTCCTTCTTGATTTATTTGGCAGTTTCTCTCCGTGGCAAGGCAGCAGGATGGGTGTGTTCCAGCCCATGGATGTTCTGCTCTACACCAGCCTATTTGCATTCACTTTTATCTGATGCATGTACCCAGTGCCTTCCTAAATGTCTGGAGTCATTTCTGGGTGAGGTAGTGCTACCTTGTGCTGTGAACATGCTTCTGTGTCATCTCCAGATAAAAATTTAGATCTCAGGTTTGATTTTCTCCCAAAGGAAGTGAAATTAGCACGAGATCTTGCTTGGCTCATGCAGGTGTATGGGGAATGTTTGCCATCTGGTACATTTGCATGTAGGTGAGCGCAAAGGCAGATTTTGAAAAAAAAATATGTAGACAACTGAGTATGATGAATGGGTTTATTATTCTGTAAGGTGCTTATTATATTATGCTTCTCTTTCTCTTTAGGGAGAACTCTTTAACTACTTCAGGGATTGATTGCATTTGATTAGAGAGTAGTTTGTCTTCTGAATCCATTATCCTGGATGAAAGTCCACAAGTTTATTCTATTTTATGGAGCAGCTGGAATTTCACTGTGTGTATATTATACAAATGAGGACCAAATGCAAAGTATTTCATAAGGTCTTATTTGAATTGATGAGTGGCCTTTTCTTATAGAATTATCATGCTGGATTGCAGGTAGGGATGGAAAAGAGCCTGGTGGCTCATCCTGCCTGCAGCAAAATAGTTCCCTTTTACTTCTCTCCTTTTGCAATTTGAAAATTCTGGCTCATACTTTCACAAAAAAAAAAAAAAAAATCCCAGTTTATTTGACCTTTCCCTTTATGGTGGGCACAAATGCTTCCCCCTGCCTCCTGCCCCAGCTGAGACCATCTGCCCAGAGGATGGAGGAGTGGTGGGGGGCACTCTCCTCCTGGTCCCAAAGAGCCGATTTGGGACTTGTCCCAAAATCAGGAGTGGGGACAAGCTGGGTTACCTGGCAGGAGCACCTGCAAGCCTCAGTGTTCATTGTTCTTTGAAATCACAGCATCCTTTCTTTCTCCTAAACACGGCCAAGGTGGTTGTTCCCTTGCCAGAGGAGTGTCACTGCTCTGAAGTGGTGGCCAGAGCTGGGGAAGTGAATGTACAGATGGGGTGAGGATGGGCAGGGAGAGGGGTGAATTAGTGTGATGTACCCACAGCATCCATCTCCTCTGAACTCACAGAAACATGAGCTCTGATTTAATCTCCTAAGCTTCTACTTAGGTTTTCACTTCTCTGTAGGAATGCAGCATTTCTGGAGTGCCTGACTGACAGAGGAGGATTTAAAAGGAAAGGTAGAGACACTAATAGCAGCTTATTATAAATTTAACAGATGAACTGTCAGTTTCTCAGAGGTGTGTGCTCACCACAACCTTTCCTTGGATTCTCCACTGGCCATAGAAAAAAAAATAACTTCTGAGGTGCTCAGCTAATGTAGTGCATTTCATTGCTCTATAAGGAGTTCTTTGGTTTACAGCTTGCAGCCTTCATTATTCCTTTTACCACGTCTCATATATTGAACTGTGTTGTAAAAGATAACTTTAGTGTGCTTTTTTAATATGTTTATATTTTCTCAATGATTATTTTAGGAGGTATGGAGGAATTTTATTCTTCTCAGGGTCAGCTGTCAGTGAATGAAATTTTTGCCTTTTAATCAAACTGGTCACTTTATTCTTTTTTTTTTCCCCAAGATGTCTAATTTGATAGGCATAGCAGGACTGAAATAATACTTTCTCTGACTTGAAATTTATGGGAATTTTATAGTTTTTAAAATAAATTCTATAACTTGAGAAGCTAGACATTTATAAGTGGTTCATCTGTCTGATGCAAGATTTTTCTTAAAGTATAAATATACATATAGCACTTTCTTTAAAGTTTCTTGAAAGCATCCTGAATTTTGGGGTTGGTGGTAGCTTTTCTTCCTGTTCTTTCGACTCTCCATGCAATCCTTGTATTATCACAGTCCCTTTGCATTGTCAAACCCCTACATAAAATCTCTGACTTTCTTTTAATTTACAGTACTGAAATGGCATTTAGATTTTATGTTGGCTGTTCCTGTGGCACGACGTAGCTGTAGGAGAACACATCTGTGCAGCTGTGCTCATACCTCTGCCTGTGCACCGGCCACTCAGGGAAGTGTTGACCCTGAAAACTGATCACAGAGTGGTTTAGGTTGGAAGGGACCCCAAAGACCCTCCAGCTCCAGCCCCCTGCTGTGGGCAGGGACACCTTCCACCAGACCAGGTTGCTCAGAGCCCCATCCAACCTGGCCTTGGGCACTGCAGGGATGGAGCAGCCACGTCTGTGTTGCCTGCAGAGGGTGTTGATGCTGACCTGTGCTGGTGGTAGGGTCACCTCTCCCCTTTCTTGCCCTGTTTGTTCCCATGCAAAGAACAGTTTCAGGGGTACCACTCACCTGGCTCCCCTCTCTCTTGATCCTTCTGGTAGAACTTCCGGTGGTGGGGAATGGCAGAAAATCATAGGTTTGTTTGAAAGTGATAATGCAAAAGGAGGGAAGTAAGTTGAGTAATTTCTAAGAAAGCAAATGGAAGTGTCAGCACAGTGGTCCAAAGTCAGGGAGGGGATGGAAGCAAGTAAGGATCTTCCTCTGGTAAATTTAATTCACACTTTTTGCTAAACGTAAATGATAGCCTAGGAAAAAACTGCTTGGAATACATAGTAAATGATGTTGCCAGGATACTTCCTGATCATGTTAATTAAACTGTCCCACAGATTGGGCTTAATTACTGCATAATTTGCATTTTGGAAATGATGGTATGAATTACTAAAGAAAGCTCTTGTTCTGCTAGCAGAAAGAACATTGTACATGAATTAATTTCCAGGGGAAGAAGTCGCTAGACTAATATAATGATGTATCTTGAAAATAAAGTTTTTTGATAATGAACTGACATATACCTCATTCCTCTTAGCAAGATTACATTTTGTATTTGCTCCACTAAGTTCCTCAGAGACTTCATCCACCAGCCTTCTTCTTGTTGGCTATTTAATTACAAGCATCACTGATGTTTTCAGGATTGCTGGTGATGAAGCAGATACTAGTTAAAATATATTTGTTCCAAGGCCCAGATTTGATACTGCATATGCATTGCTGGTGATGCATTTCACCACCCTCCCAAGTTAAACTCCCTGTTAAGCTGTCAGCTTCTCCTTGTCTTGTTTTTTATTTTCTGGCTTTGTTTGAAACTTCTGATATGTCTCTGGTATCCTACTTGTGGGGGCCTGAGGACAAATGGAAATATGCAGAAATATCTCTCTGCCCTTCAGGTCTGAGTTCAGGTGTTACTGGTGGTGCCCTGCTTGGAGGCCTCAAGGAGGTGCCTGTTGGGGCAGTGGCTGTAGGGCTTCCTAATGTAAAAAAAAAAAGGATTTTGCATCTGCATTTCTGCCAGGGTAGTTTTGTGCCTCCTGACCCTGCTTTGAGTTCAGTGACATTCCTGCAGCCACGTTTAACTGCAGGGCTGTGATGGTACTTTGAAAAACAAGACAAAGCATCAGAACTCCTGCAAGAATTAAGACAAGAAAACAACTGTTTACTTTGGAAAAAAAAATCTTCTGAACACAGCAATTTCCCAATTTAGCCTGCTAATTGCTTTGGATGATACCGTTGCTAGGATATGCATTTCCGATGTGACTTGCACGTTTTAATTCTTTTTTTTTTTCTCTGTTTGTGACCAGGTGATCATAAACAGCACCATCACCCCCAACATGACCTTCACTAAAACGTCGCAGAAGTTTGGGCAGTGGGCAGACAGCAGAGCCAACACCGTCTTTGGGCTGGGCTTCCCCTCTGAGCAGCAGCTGACAAAGGTACTGGGGCTGCAAAGGCTTCTTGGTACTGCAGTGGCACATCAACCTGTGTGTTACTGCAGGTCCTGCTCAGCATGGCAGGTCCTCATCTCTGGAGCTACCAGAATTGCCATCTCTGGAGTTTCCAGAATTGCCATCTCTGGAGTTACCAGAACTGCCATTTCTGGAGCTACCAGAACTGCCATCTCTGGAGCTACCAGAATTGCCATCTCTGGATTGCCATCTCTGGAGCTACCAGAATTGCCATCTCTGGAGTTTCCAGAATTGCCATCTCTGGAGTTTCCAGAATTGCCATCTCTGGAGTTACCACTGCCTGTGGGTGTCAGTGAGTGCTGCTGCTGGCAAGCGATGAGTAGCCAAGGACAGCTTGCTGACAGAACTGCCTCTGCATTAGCACCAAACCCCTCGTCCTGAGTTTGGTATTATGAAACACTTCCCTGGATTAGGCACTGGATGCATTAGCAGGCTTGTAAAGGCTAGAGCAGCCTCTTGTTCTGAATAATCAGCACCTGAAAATACTCCTCTGTCATTGAAGTAGTGGTCTTGACAAGTGCTTATCAAGCAGCTGAGGTGATTGTTTGTTCATGAGGTAAAAAGCCCCACTTATCTCACACATACTTGACTCCTGAGGCATTGGCTGCTTGGCACTGGGCTTCATAAGTGACCTCAGCAGCGTGTCCTTGGGCATGCCACACTGCTCAGGTTGCTGTGCTCTCCTGTGCTTTAATAAGAAAAGGGTCAGGAGAAGAAGGTGTTTCTTGTGGTGTCTAAAGCAGCAAAGGCAGAGCACTGCACTGGAAGTACTTCCCTATCAAGCAAGTAGTTAAAGGAATTTATTTTAGAAAGTCTGTCTTAATAAGTTTTTGCAATTTCTAGAGAATTGCATTTTTGCAAGTGTTTCTTAAAAGTTATTTTACTTTTCATGTGTTAAATTATTTTTGGACTTGGGATGCCCATAAAAGTGCCATGGCATTAGTCTGTTCTTTGGGGACAATAAAGGCAAAGCTTTTTTAAAAATGAGTTGTTGGAGATGGTTATGTTTTATGATGCTTACTCAGGTGTACAGGACTGCTCATTTCACCTGTGCATTTCCTTCACTCCTAGGGCAAAGAGGTGTTCATAGTAGCTAATAAAATAAGTGGAAATAGAGGAGGATTAAAACAGACCTAAGGGAATAATTATTTTTGAGTAACTGATAAGCATGATATAATGTAACCTTTGAACACTGAATGGGAGAATTTGCACCTCTGGGTAGTAGTTTTTAATCCTGGATTACTGAAATTACACCTCTGTAACATGATACGAGACCCCACGGTGCCTCAGTGGCAGACTGGGGCCAAACCTGCACCATGTCTCACATGGAGCAGCTGCTGCTGGGTCTGGCTCAGAAGAAGAGAGGTAAATAATAAAATAAGGCCCTGGGTTCACTGCAATGAGGCAGGAGGTACATTTGGAGGACCTTGCACTCTAATCAGAGAAATTTTACCATGTTCTGCAGACCTTATCAAACACATACTCAGAAGAAATGCATTGCTGGTATCAGCTCAGTGCTCACGTGGCCAGTCTAGAGCCAGTGTGAATAACGTGGGTACAGGGACACCAGCCCAGCTGTGTTTCTTCCCAGGTCACTCTGTACATTTGTTTGCACTGCCCAAAATACAACCTTCTACCTGCATGAAAGGCTTTCCAAATCAGCCAAAAGACTTTTTCTGGTCAGAATATTGAAAGGGAGCTTAAGGGTGACACTTCTAAAAATTGCTTGAGATGATTAAAAAAAAAACACACCAAAACTCTGACAGTTATCTAGCTGAAAAATACAAGAAAATCTAGTTCATTACCATCATGCAAAGCAATGGGACAAAGATACTCCTTTATTGTCTGTACTTCTCAGTTTAATTATTGAGCCATTAGTAAGAAAGATCAGAGTTGAGAGTGAGATTACAGCTATATAAGTGTACTGGGAATAGTAAAATCAAGTTTCATTTTATATTAATATCATTATACTCTTATAAAAGATATAAATTAAAGCTTGCCTATTTTACGGGAAATAATTGAAGTGCTTAGTCAGGAATTGGAAGGGCACACTAAAACTCCCCTAAACCAGAGATCAATAGCCCTGGCTTAAAATAAATATAAATAAATAAAGCTGAAAAATGTCCATTGAAAGCAATGTAAAATAATGAGGCAGGAGAAGAGGTTAGCATGCCTAAAAATGCCTGCATTTTTAAGTATATTGGTTGGCCTAATAAAAGATATTGCCTCATTCTAATGCTTTGCTTCTCTTGAGATACTTAAAGCATTAATCCATACCTGTAGGGAAAAGCAGTTCAAATTAAACATGAGCCATTAATGAAAACTGCATTCTGTGACCCAGTAACCTAATTACCATTCACATTGATTGGGAGAATCCCAGGGCTTAAAGCTGATGTCCTGCTCAGGGTCCTTTTCCCCTTCTGCAGGACTCGCTGACCCTCCTTTCCTCCTTCCCACCCTGTGCATTGTTCAAACCCTGCTGCAGCAGGAACCCCAGGGAGTGACAGCGAGTGTGGGTGGGCAGGCAGGGCTGGTGCTGCACAGGTGCTGCTGAATTTTGCACACCAAGTGGTTAAGGAAGATTCCTGCTGCTGTTCAGGGTGCTTTGAGGCAGCCGTGCTATATATGAGGAGCTGCAGGTAGTCAAGGGCACAGGGACAAAGATTTATATGGGTGAGAGACCCAGTAAAGCCAGACTTTGCACATCATAAAGCAGCTGCCTCTGGCCCCTGGGAAGCCCTGGACTTTATTTCTCTGCACTCCTGCACATTTTGTGTGCCAGGCACTGCATTGCAGGGCAGCAGGCTCGGGGCATTCTGCCCCAGCACACAGCACAGCCACTGGTCCAGCTGGTATCAGAGCTGGACACGCCCTGGCTGGGATAAAGGAAATTACTGGGCACTTTTGGGGTAAATAGTCTTGTTGGGAGCCCCTCTGCCCCGTGCTCGCCCCAGGAAAAGCCCGTGTGTGTTGTGGGTCAGGCACAGCCGTGCTCCCCGGGGCTGTCACATCACCCAGCCTCCTGCAAACCGAGAGGGAGATGAAATATTTATGAGCCTGCTTTGGGTGGGAGCAGCTGTTTCATCCAATACTGGCACAATTTGTCAGTAGGAGACATAAAATATAATGCCAGACCAGGAGCTTAAAATTTATGCATACACAATCATGCTTTTTAATGTATAAAATGCTAAGGAGGTCTATTTGAATATACATATATATATATATATTTATATATTTCTTCTGGTGACAAACTCACTGTGGATTTGAACAGCCTTTAAATAATTTGTGCAATGCACAGAAGCATCCTCAAGTCCCCATTAAATTTCACTGGCCAAGACTCCTAATCAAGCAGTGCTCGTGGCTGCAGCTGCCTGACCAAAAGGCTTCACAAGTGTTGGGAGCAGCAAATCTTCTCTGTGTTGCAGCTTAGTCACACAGATTCCTGGGGCGTGGGAAGGCACATCCTATAATCCATGATGGACTGTTGGGGTGATATTCAGTTGCCATCTCTCCTGCTCCAGTTTTTGTGGGGTTTTTTGTTGATTTTGGTGACTTTGCCAGAGGGCAAGCAATGGACCTAAGGAGGAGAAACATTATGAATTCTGTAGTAGTTGGGTTTGGGTATTTAGATTTTCTTCGCTCCTTGAGACCACACCAAATTTTAATTTACTCAACACACTTTTTATTAGGAATTTGACTTTCATTAAGTACTCCCTTTTGTTCTAATGGTTTGATGGCTCAAAGTCAGCTTAGACCTTGGAGGTGGGGCATGATTTTGTGGTACCAATTATTTGTCAATTATTTGTGTTTGGGGCAGAAGCAGTTGGTTACTAGAGAGAAATCTGATTTCTCATGGTGATTTGGCCCTGTGGCTGTACCATACTGTCAGACAGCCTCGAGTTTTGGGTGGCTCCAGAGCCTCCTGCTCTGCTCCCTTGCAATGGGTGTTGCAGTGCTGCAGAGCTGGGGCTGGCACTGCCCCTCTCAGAACAGCAATCACTTTCTAAATGCAAATGTGTTTAATATATGTGTTGGTGACCTAGAGACATGACTGATCTCGTTTATGCAATGAGGTCATTATTGGGTTAGTATTGAAGATTAGTGTTGCTCAATCATATGCAATTTTTTATTATGGAAATGTGGAAAAATGTCCTTTTCTTCCCAGCTCACATAATTTTTCACAGCAGTCTCCTGTGTGCTTTACAAAGATAGCTGCAAAATAAAATTTGATAGATCACTTCCAATTCTTTTTGTCTGCTCATATTTCGTATCGTCCATGAAGAACCCTCATAAATTTTTCATACATAAGATGAAGAGATTTATTGTAAAAGAGAAAGATTTATTATAAAAGACAGACTCAAAACAGCCTTACACTATCCGCAAGAAACACAAATGTAGAACTTACCGTTGATATAATATTTTAGAAATAATCAGCTGGTTATTGCTGCTCTGTCACAGCAGGAGGGATGCTTTGTGTAAAGTTGGAGTTAAATCACTAAAGGCACAAATGTAATGTGGTTGTTGCTAACGATCTGTGGAGTGCTGGAGAGGTAATGAAGCCAGTGGTGCAATGACATCCCATGGCAGTGCTGCATCCCAGGGCACTGCCGTGCCTGCGCCGTGTCAGCTGGAGCCCAGAGCTCCATCCCCGTCCACCAGCACCCAGAGCATCACTCACCTCCCAGAATGTTCCCATCCCTGGGGTTTAACTGTGATGTGTGTGTGTGTTTGTTGGGAATTGCCATTTGTGTGCGCTACACGTGTAAATCCAGATTGCTTTTAGACCAAATGGAGAAAATTTGTTTAATCGGTCTCTACAGTCCAAATTTTACTGAGAGAGCGTGCTAAATACCTGCTGTAAATTAGAAGGCAAGATTGCTAAGTGAATAATGATTCTTTCTATTCTTCAGCCGTAAATTTGGATGGTTTTTTCATGCTTTTATTTACAATTTTTTCATAAGTGTTCTGAATTATCCAAGGATATAATGGCAATCCTTTTGTCACAAACTGTGCAATAAATATACCTGTTTATATTTTTATTTCTAAAATGGCTTGCCTTTCTAGCATTTCAAGTTTTTCAAAATACAGGCAAGCAGGACCTAGCAGTTTTAGCTGAAAGATAAAGTTACCTGTTCTTATAGTGGATACATCATAATCTAAAAAATATATTATGTATTGTACCTTTTTTTCCATCTTTGTAATCCTCCTCAAAAATTTTAAACATTGCTTAAAGTGTTTGAAGCCCTGCAACCCTGACTGGCTGTGATAACACTTGTATTCCAAAAATGGCAGGCTGGCTTTGGAGCAGATGTCCTACAGCAACTCACAGAGGTTGGGATTGTTGCCTTCCATCTTCATCTTTCCTTTCCCTCACCTCTCCCAGTTTGATATATCCCTCTTACAGGAAGAACTCCAGCCTTTATCTGAAGTCTTCTACCTTTATTTTTGAAAGTAATAAGAAAATTAGAGCAGAAAAGCTTGTTTTCATATGATTCCATCATACATTGAGACCTACCTTCTTCTCCTTTTTCCTATGTCTTGATAATCCCTTGCTTACCTCCTGCAAATGAACTTATTTGCATTCTTTAATTGAATTCACTTGCTCTTAGGAATAGAAGACATTGATACTATTTTTATCCAAACATATGTCTCATACTTTTGTCTTTAATACACTGTCAACACCGAGGGAAACAGAGAAAGGGGAGGAAATAAACAGAACCAAATCAAACCAGAGACACCGACAGTTCCTTTTCCTCCATGGGCTTTTACTGTGGTTGGCCAGAGTTATAGAGATGTTCCTCTTTTAGACACACCCCCGCTTCTTTTGGAAGAACCATCCTGCCAAAGAACTAAAATGTTTTTTCTTGCCAAAAATTCTAAATTAATAAAATTAGTTGTTCATTTTTGGACATCTATATCATATGAAGATAGCAATCTTAATGGTTTAATAGATGATAAATCATGTTAATAAATATCTTCCATGCTTTTTCTAGTTTGCAGAGAAGTTCCAAGAAGTAAAAGAAGCTGCCAAACTTGCAAGAGACAGATCTCAAGAGAAAATTGAAACCTCAAGCAATCATTCACAGGTTTGTAATTTAGCTTTAATACCTGTACACATACAGGATAAATAATTTAAAGTCAAATTTTCAAATGGACTATGCCAGCTTCTGGCAGCCAGCTTAAAGTGTATAAAATGGAGATTGCTGAAGGTAATTGTCAGCTGCTGGACATTAGCATTGTCAGAAGAATATTTTTCATTTATCCATGCTCTTTACTTTCATTTAAATCTAATTTTTTTCAGCAGTCCTTGAGCTGTTACAACTTTTTTAATAACGGGGAAGGCTATACATCCTTTGATTTGTACTGTTAAACACAGTTTGAGTCACTGGGAAGTCAGTCAGTGTAGTGCTTCAGCAGGCACTAAATGAGATTCATCAATATCCTTCTCTGTTATCTGTCCAGCCCACTTCTGTGGCATTTGGTTAGCCTGACTCTGTGTCCCTGGGCAGCTGTGGTGTGGGAGCAGGGGCTGGAGAGGGGCTGGAAGAAGTTTGTGTTGCATTTCTGCCCCGTGCCCTCTCCTGGTGCCCAGAGCCCAGCGGGGTCTGCGTCTCCTCCAGGCTGAAGAAGTGGAGATGGGGTCCCAGCTCTCTGCAGGGCTGGCTGCATTTCCCTGTGCAGTGCCTTAGGTGAGAGTGAGCCCTGCTCAGCAGCTGTTCCTGGCCTGGGCTGATGCTTGGAGGCAGGAAAAGCTGCTGAATGGTTTTAGTCTTGCAACCACCCCCTTTGTGGGGCCCACAAATATCAATCCGAGTGCCCACTTTGGATACTCATTTTGTAGACTTTGACCATGGTTCTTTGTAGTTCACTTTGTTCTCTGTTGGTGGTCAGCACCAAGCAGTGTGTGAATAGTTTATTTTTGGAGGAGCAATACTGTTTTTGTTTGTTTGTTTGTACTTTGTGTGCTGTATTGTTTCATTATTTTAAAAAACCAAACAACTTTTGAAAAACACAAGCCTTATCAGGGAAAAACTTCTTAAAATTTTGAACACTTTAAACTTCCATTTGTGTATCATTGTAATTTTTTCGTTCTTTTTAAACAGACCAGCTTTGCAGCCAAGATGAAAAGGGTATGTGTGTGTTACCACTGTTCTGCCAGGAGAGCCGAGGTCTCAGCCAAGTGGTGTGGGATCAAGATTACAGAGAAATTGGTGTTGTGGTCTTGCAGGAGATGCAGGAGACACCCAGTGTTCGTTTGTGTGTTGTGCTGCAGGAGTCTGGACGTGAAACACCATCTTCCACTCGAGCTTCAAGTGTGAATGGCACAGACGACGAGAAGGCATCTCATGGTGGCCCTGCTGAGGCACATCTCAAATCTGAGAATGATAAATTAAAAATTGCTCTAGCCCAAAGGTGAAGTTTCTGTAGAACCTAAATTGCATTGGAAAAGTGTGCTGTAATTATCTGGTGGATAATGATATTAACAGAAATTATTCAGATTGTAATTAATTTTAAATGGTGCCGCAGAATGGAGGAATGAACAGATTTTAGCAAGTATCTCCTGGCATCCAGTTGAGAAATGTTTCCCATTTCATTTATTCCTGATGTAGTTTGTGAAGAAATAAGCTCTCTTTTATTCTGCTGATGCCAACTATTATAACCATCTTCTTTTACAAAGTTTTAGAACTACAGAAATAACATTAAAGCCATAGGGGAGCAATTGCTGCTGATAACATGTGAAGCCAATCTTTCTTCCTCTTTGAGTTTGCTGCACTTACTTTGATTAAAATAGATATGGATATTTAAAATTATGAAAGGAAATGAACTCAATCATAAAAAGTTGAAGTGAGAAGTATAATTTCATCAGAGTGCTTGGAAGTCTTAGGGGATATTTCTAAATTGTGGACAGAGCCCCTTGAAATCACATTTTTTGCTATTTGCTTTGATAAATAATTTGAAAATGCTGAGAAGAGTAATTTGCAGCTGTAGTGAAAATACAGGCGTTGCAATATGCAAAGTTACAACATTAAAATAGAGTAATTCTCTACTGGGATCTTGCCTTGTCTGCCTCTTGCATGTGAATGTGTATCTGTGAATGGAAAGAAAATCTAACAAGATCAAGCTACTCTTAAAAAGGTATTTAAAAAACAAAGCATCACTGTAAGCAGCATTATCCAGTGAGCAATTCCAAGGCTGCATATATTATGTTTGAAGTACAACATCTCTCTTTATTGACATTTCAGTAGCTTAACCTGTTTCAAACAGCAATGTGAGCTCATTCCTCTTGCTGAAGACACCTCCACAGGCAGGCAGCAAGTAGCACACAGGGAGTTTCAAAGCCTTCCTCTCGTTCACCCTCTAATCTTGTGCTCTGTGCTGCAGCTCAAAGCTTTGGGGAATGAGTAGTTTAATTCTGCAGCATTATGTAACACTTTTATAGTTAAGACTCAGCATTAAAATAAATTCAAATATAGATCATGTCAACCCCCTGGAATCTTCCATTCGGAATTGCTGTGCCATCTCAGATGTGCAGAGTGGCTGTGCTGCAGGGTGCCAGGTGCCCAGCCCCAGGTGCTGCAGCCACGCAGCTCAGAGGTGTCAGGGACCATGCCAGGGTGAGACCCCTGTGTGCAAGTGGGCAGCTGGACCCCACAGCCTGCTCTGACAGCAGGGCTTGTGCTCCAGACACAGCCACTGCTGCTGGGGTTGGTAGATCCCTTTGTTTTGACAGAGACAGTCAAATGAAGGCTTTTGTTCTCCGTAGGAATGTAATGGCTAAAGGCAGGTACACACATCTGAGTGCTCTTCCTGCAACAAATTAATGGTGAACACACCGTGGTGGGGGAGCTTGCAGGCAGGTAAAGAATAACAACTCACAGGGATGCAAGGTGAAACCAGCTCATGGTGTCCTGTTCTTCTCAGTTCATCCAACGTGAAGAAGTGGGAGACGGAGCTGCAGTCGCTGCGGGAGAGCAACGCGCGGCTGTCCACGGCCCTGCAGGAGTCGGCGGCCAGCATCGAGCACTGGAAGAAGCAGTTCTCAGCCTGCAAGGAGGAGAACGACCAGCTGAGGGGCAAGGTAGCAGAACACAGCCACAGGAGAGGGCCCCTCCAGCCAGCTGCTCCCACCACGGCTCTCTGGGAGCTCTGCAGCTCTGGCTGTGTGCTGGCAGATGGGTTGGCCTTTGAAAGGGAGGTGGATGGGGAGCTCAGGCAGCTGCTTCCCTCTGCACACAGTGGGCAGGGAGGGAGCAGAGGAGCTGCTGCATCACCTGAAGTTCCTGCATCAGGATTTGGGAGACTTGGTGCCAGCAGGGCTTGCTGGCTGGGGTGAGGAAGCAGAAAGGTTCTAAAAGTGGGACTGGTGTTGCATATCCCTTTCAAAGCTCGCTTAAATACTGCCAGACATGAATGAGCAGAAGGCGACGTTGTGTCCTGGTTACCCACAGGAACCCAGCCTGGGAAGCACTCAGGATTAGAAGCAAATCCCAGAAGCAAAAATCTCAGGAGTGTGCAGGGGAATGAGGATGTGAGTTATTTCCTCAGCACTGTGGGCTGTGAGCCTGATCCTCCAGTGCTAACACCTGGCACATCTCATCCAGAAACTTGCCAAAGGCATCATCAAAAGCCTTTCCCCCTTCATTACTGAGCACATTTCTCAGTTGTATAAGATGCAGGGTTAGCAATGGCTGCAGCAGAGAATAACTCAGAAGTTTAAATCTGTGGAGGTTTAGAGTAGTCAGCAGTACCATCTCTCAGATAATACTGTGCTGTCTGCAGCAGCCCCTATGGGCACAAGGGATCCTGGGCATGGGGGATCCTGGTTTCCATCAGCATGGCTTTTGCAGAGATACTTTGTTGCCCTATTCATCCTAAATGCTTTTGGAAAAGCTGGATCCTTTTCCTGCTGCTTAGATGGATCACTGAGACATTTAAAATAGAGATTAGATTGTATCAGTCTGGTGAGGATATTTTTTTGTTTAGTGTTTGCTTTTGAAGAGGGAAGGAATTTCATGTCTTTTTGTGTGTCAGTAGGCTGCAGGTAGTATTTCAGTGTTGGAGGTGGTTTGGGTTGTTTGTTGTCACTGAAAATCCTTGTGGAACAACACCCTTTTTTCTGAAGTCAATACTCCCTGTTTATTCACTGGTGTTTTATGGGTGCACAGTGGTAATGCAGAAATCAAACCAAAGCTGTATTAACTGATGTTACATTAACAAATTAATATAAATTGTTACATGATTTGAGTTCCTATATCCAGTCTCTTGTGTACAGGGGAGAAGTGAGAGTACAGTGGAACAGTGTGTTATGGGAAAATCATCATTTGCAGGGTAGTTGTTTCCCCTTCTGTACTCTTGCAGGGAAAAGTTGTTCTCATCACCACATGCCACATTCCAGTAGTTGTACTAGAAAAGAGATTATTAAAACACCACCTTACTGCCTCTTCAAAGTCCCCATGCTGGTGACCAGCTCGACTGTGCAGCAGTGCTGTCTGTATAATGTGCTTTCTCTATACAGGGAGGTTTTCCCAAGTAGGTTCCTTGCTCAGTGCTCACATTGCACCACTGCAGTGCCCTGGGAAGTTCCTTCTCCTTTATTAATTGGGTCAGAATTTTTTGCATACTGCTCTACCTTCAAATGAAGGAAGTTATAATCCCAAAGCAACATGAAGCTGAGAATTAAAGCACATACTTTAATGAGCTGGTCCATCGGCCTGTGGGAGCTGCATCTCCTGGGAGCTGAGTCCAGAGCTCCAGCAGGAGGTTTGGAGAGAGCAAAGCACATCCCTGGGTGAGAGAACAAAGCAGCAGATGTTGCTCTGAACTGGTTCTCCCCCAGAGTTTTGATGTTGTGTTCCTCATACACCAGCTAGAATAATAAATAGCCCCCAAGAGATTTCTTTTCCTAATGTGTTAAGAAAACCCATTCCTTGTAGCCTTTTGTTGGCTTCATAGGAGTGAAGTGCAGATTTTATCCCCAGTTCCACTTATTTTAGCAGCTCAGTGTTTTGTGCATTCCTGAGTACTTATAAGAGAGACTGTAAGAGAGAATAAATACAGACCCAGGGTTTCCTAGTGGATGTGTAAATTGACTCTTTTGAAGGAAAGAAGTGATAATTTGGTTGCAGTAAATCAAATGCTATGATATAGGAAACAGATCCCATGTCCATTTCATCAGCTGTATTCTGCCCCAGATATTCATAAATTTGAAAAATTTTGCCTAATGTCTGACATTTCTTAAAGATTGAAGAACTGGAGGAACAGTGCAATGAAATCAATAAAGAGAAGGAAAGAAATGCACAGTTGAGTAGACGTCTTCAGGAACTGGAAACAGAACTTCAGGACAAAGAGCTCGTGAGTGCCCTAAACACAGAAATAGCATGTTCATATTTGAGTGGAACTGTCATATTTGGGTGTAGATTTATGGAGTGGCTCACCTGCCACCAGAAGCAGCCTGATGTCTTGGGGTGTTGCCTGTTTCTAGGTTTTCCATGTACAGTCCCTTGTTTGGTTGTGTTTGTCCATCCAAGTTTCATGATGTGTTCTGTGCTGTGGCTGCACTCTGTAACTTGGCAGGGGTTAGAAAAGGGTGTTTTTATGTACACAACACTTGTCCTTGTAGAAGAGCAGTGGTGAAACTTGGTGCCCAGTGCCAGAGATGTGTGCTGATTTGACTTTCCCCATGACAAAAATTCCTGTAGACATCAGGATTGTCGTTAAAAAGACATAATTTAGAAAATAATTTGGCATTTGTGTAACAAGTCTTGTTTCTTTTCTGGATGGCTCATTGTTTGCAGCTTTGTGGTTTATGGTCTCACTCTGATCTCAGGACTAATGCCAAGACTGAGAAATTCAGATTCATCTAGAGTACTCCACTTTGTCATTTTTGACATTAATGTTAATTTTTAAGGGTGTTAATTTTTCTAAGGAGGATGATGGCTTGGAACCCCAGAACAGTGGGGAAAACACTGGGAAGCTCTTTTTTTTCCCATTGTCACACTGACCAAATGTTCTGTGCTGGCTGAAGAGGAAAAGCAGTGCAGTAAAGTTTGCCATGTGCCATTACAGCATCTCTGCTGCTGCTCTTAAAAGCTCTGCTGTTAAGGGATTTTGTGGTGGTGAAAGGAAATAGTTTAGGGAGATGGATTTTGATACTGTCATAAATACAGTGTTTTTCAGCCCTTTATTTCAAAGGAAATTGAAATGCTGTCTTCCCAACCTTTCTGTGGCAGTAGCATATATAACAGCCTTTATCCTCTCCTAGAATTCTCAAGATTCCTGTTTTCACTGTACCAAATGAACCAGAAAATTGATCGACTTCTGAATTTTACGAGCCCATCTTCCACTTAGACTGAAAATATACTAACTTGTTTTAAAAATTCATGCTTACATTAGCATGTTCTCAATTAGCTCTAAACTACCCATAAGTAATCTTTCATGGTCTGGAATCCAAGCCCATGTGAACTGTGCTCATGGCATTGCCTTGTAAGAGAAGCTGCTGGTACCCTCCTGGTGTAGGAGGTGCTTGTCCAAGTGGTTCCTCCACCAACTCCACATCTCTCTGGTTTTGAGACAAGGCTGGAACTTGAGACAAGTGTGGAACGGTGCTAAATGATTTGCACAGATCCAGGTAGTCCAGGGGTACACCCCTGCATTCTCCTGAGATCATCATGGGCAGTTTCTGGAGGAGGATCTTGCACTATTCTCAAGTTGTTTTAATTTCCAACAGAGACATGGGTTCCTTCTGTTGCTCTTTCCATTAATTTCCTTCATCAAGTCTGCTCAATTTGGGTAGTGAGGCCCGAACCAAATACAGATTTTGAGGGAGGGGTAAGGTGATGGTTCTCAGAGCTGTGCCATGGTGGAAAGCCCATTGCACCTGTGTTCTCTAATAATGTCTCTATATGTGCAGCTGGTAAAGCCACTGGCCTTTTTTTGCTGTCATATGTCATTGCAATAGTCTAATATGCTCTTTGCTACCATCTATAAATTGCTCGTAGCATTACAGCCATTCAGATTTCTCTGGTATTTAATGCATCTTTTGCATAGTTACATGGTTTAGTTTAAGATTTTATTAATATAATTCATGGAATTCATGCAAGAGGTGGGATTACATTGCCTGTTTTAGAAATGCAAAGTAAAAAATTTAGGGAAAAAATGTATCCTTCTAGAAAATTAACAATTTTGGAATGTAGGCAGGTTATTTTGATTATTTTCCATCCAAATACTGTGCAGAATACAATAAAATATGCAAAGCCATTTCATCCTTTCAAATTTTCATTATGTTCTCAATTGAAGCTTGCACTAATATTTTTTCTTTTATGTTTTCAAAGGAACTGGAAGAGCTCCGAAAGCAGGGTGAAATTATACCAGAGCTAATGTCAGAATGTGAATCTGTATCTGAACAATTACAGGTACAGTTCGCAGTGAAATTAGTTTCAAAATAACTGGTACCTTTCCTTTACTTTTTTTTTTTTCTCATAGCTATATGCATTTCTCTATTCAGACTTCAGTGTTTCAAGGCAAGAGAGCTCCAGTTTGTAAAAACAAAAAATGCTAATTACATGCAAAATACACAGTGCCATTGCCAATGCAGGAGTGATGAAATAGCTCCATTGCAGAAATTGGTTTTCCTGGGATCCTGTAGCATCCATCCCCTGCAGTTCCAGGCTATCCTGTATCCCATTTTCTGCTGCTCTGGGTTCGTGGAGCTGCACCACTGCCACGTGTGTTGAGCAACTCCCCAAGCCCCAGGGGTAATTGCTGCAGGCAGCAGGGCAGGCTTTGGGAAGGAAGCAGATGAGCACAGCTGCTCAGCACCAGGGTGGAGGTTCACCTGGGCTGTGGCCCTGTGCTGTGACATCCCTTTCCAGGAGTGCTGGAGTGTGCCCATGGCAGGTGCTCTGAGCAGCTGGACTTTGGGCATTGCCTCCTCAAATTGGGTCTTGTGGAAATGCAATAAATTACTACATGAAAAGAGAATAAACATGAGCAGTCTCATTGATGAAGTAAAATCTAATCAATAAATAAGCCATCAGGCGAAGCAGAATTTTTAAAAAATACCAATAAATCCCGAAGTGCTGAATAAAGCAACTTTATTCCTCAGACAGTATTTCCTAAGTTTTTTTTTCAAGGTTAAACCGCCGTAGATAATTCTTTATGTAATTGATGGCACAGTGTCTAATTCTGCAGCTGTAGCAATGACACAAATGTATGCACAGAGCACGATTTAAATCCAGCTGAATTTGAAGATATCAACTAAATGACAAAGTCTGATGCAAAGCATCTTTTCCAGTTAATCTGTGTCCTTTCCTGCGTGGGCTCTGACATGCTCATGTCAGTTGCTCTGAGGTGCTTGTGTTAATCAGTTTACAGAAGTTTGAGCAAAGTCTCACAGCCCAGCTGCCATTTGTTGCTTTAATTTATGAAATGCTGCTCATCCTTCTTCTCTGTGATTCATCTTATTGTCTCTTTTGTCTTTAAGGCTGCTGAGAAAAAGAACAAAGATCTCGAAGAGAAAGTCAGAACGCTAAGGACAGAAGTTGAAGAGAACAAACATAGGCAGACCAACCTTAAAACTGAATTAAAGAATTTTTTAGATGTACTAGACGGGAAGATAGATGAATTACATGACTTCCGACAAGGACTGTCTAAACTTGGGGTTGACAATTAGATGGCAATAGATCTCTTTTGTAATCTAGGGTCTGGATGTTTGATGTTTTGTTGATCCCAAATGTGTTTTACAAAATATAACTAGAATGTTCCACTTGTTTGCATTGGTTTTGTACATAGAGGCTGAAAATTTGCTGTGGGTTTTTTTTGGTGGGTTTCTTTTTTGTTTGTTTGTTTCTTTACCAAACCAGTCATGCTGCTCACTGAATTCTGTTGAGATTAGAAATTTTCTATATTGCTGCTCTGGCTTTGTGGGGTTGGGAACAGGTAGAGGGTTCTGTCTCAGGAATCTGGAACTAGATCTACCTTAAAATGAATATGCAGTTAGTTGTTGCAGGGAAATTTATATCTTTTCTTAAGGGCTGTTGCAACCATAGAAACAGAAAAGTTTTTTACTTGTCCGGACTATCAGCACTCTTAGCAGAATTGACTTTATTCCGTGGTGGAGCAGAGAGATTAGCTGGAGCCCCTGCAGTTTGTAAAATGTGCCTGTGATGAGCTGCAGTCAGGAGAATCACTTCTCACAGATACCTGTATCTTTAGGGACCACGTCAATCAGGCCCAATTCAGCCAAAAAAATGCAGTGGATTTCAGATTACCTCTGATTGAGGTTTCATGTTCTTGCCTGGACCCATCCAGCACAAAGTCAACAATGCAGAAATGAGTTTCAGCTCTTGAAGTCATGTGTCTTACCAGTCAGTGAGAACAGCTTCTCTTGCTTAGCAACATCACCTCTCTCTGGCCTTCAGTTTTGAACCCATGTAGTTCCATCATTATGTGCATCTCTGATAAATGCCCACCTGAGTCTGGGGACCAGATAGTTACTTTTAAAAGTGGTATGTTTCTGGTTTGTTCAGGACTCATGCCATTCTGCGTGCAACTTGATTGCTGTTGATTGACTTCTGCAGCAGCGAGGAGGGAGATGTGGATCTGAAAAGCATCACAAGTTTACTGGAATGTGTTGCTCAGAAGCAAATTTCTGCCCAAGAGACTGGCAGGGCAATGGCCACGGAAAATCAAAGTCCTTTCCTGGGATTTCTGCATTGTCTGGCAGTAGGGTAGGAATTCGTCACCAAGTTAGGTTGTAGCAAACAAAAACCCTCAACCCTAAAGGCAGAAATGTTCTTTTATTCTCTAACTGATTATTCAGCAGCTCTAAGAGTGTGTTGAGAAATGCAAGATCATATCCTGGCCTTCAGTGAGAAGGAATTCAGTTCATCACACACAGGGATGTAAAAAGGGTGAGAGAGGAGAATCCAGCCCAAGCTTTGCTCTTTCCCCTAGGACTTCCTTCAGCTTCTTTCTATTCTTTCTCCATAAGATGTTTTCAGAGTGTTTACATGGGATCTTAATTAATTCAGGAAAGTACTTTTGTGTGCATGACATTGTAATTTGCTTGATTCAGACAACAGTTTGGCTAAGCACTGTTTTAGTGCTTTCCAGCAGGGACTGATATAAAATGGCCATGCTTTTCTTGGAATTTCAGGGGTTTTTCCTTTTTTTGGTACATCTTGATTATTAAAGTGACCTTTAAAAGAAAGGTGGGCTGTAGATGAAACATGCATTGAATACTCTTTTGTAGATGAATATATAATCCCCATGGTGGAGATAGGATCTGCATTGGCCCTTGAATTTTCATTTCATCTGTTACTTTTACATTATCTTCATTGCCTGTTTTTTAGAATGGACTTTGAGTATTTTTGCTTTTTCTCCTTTGAAACAATGGATGTAAAGCTAGAACCTTTCATAACCATTATGACCATTTTAAGTCTCTTTTTTAAAAAAAATTATTTAGGTTGTTGATATTTAAAAATAAAAATAAAAATCAGGTACATGGCATGTAGGCGTGTGAAAATTAGACTTTGCCAGCATGGAAGATTCAACAGTTGCATAATGTGGGGTTAGATCAGACTTCTCAAAATTGGAAATGACGTCAGAAAGTGTGTGGTTGTGCACAAATAGACTCCATTTTTAGTCTTTTTATTTGATAGAAAGTCAGATATACACCATCATTTAGCAGGCAGCTCATCCTGCTTCTCCTCTCCTCCCATGCTGCTTTTTGGTCCCTGCATCAGCTGGGAGCCACAGATAACACAATTAAGAGCTGCAAGCAATACTGGCAGTCAGGGCCCTACTCCTCACAGTGGTTCATTGCTTTTGCACCAAGGACCCTGCCCCATCTTTTACTGCTGAGTAATCTTAGGGCTTCTCTCTTTGTTTCAACATAAATTGTTTTTAACATGAGGCTGGGTAAAAGGATGCAAAAGACTCTGTGAAAAAATTACATTATTTGGTTTAATCCACATCTTTGTTTTCCATTTTAGTCAGGTCTGTCTCAGATCCAGTTCATTAGGAATGTATTAAGCCACTCTTAAATTGCAAGAGAAGTGTTTCCATGGGATTGCATTGATTAAACAGATGGGGTTTGATGGTGGCACATTAAGCCAGTGCATAGCTGTGTCACAGGCAGTTATTTCTGGGTGCTTAGTGCCCACCAGAGGAGCAGTGGAGTGTCCTTAAAGAAATCCCTGCCCTGTCTCTTCTGTCTTACCCCAGATATATGTATCACATATCTGCTGTTGCTCTGATGTTGAGTTGTTAGGGATGCTTGTACACAGCTTTATGCTGTGGGAAATGCTGTCCAGGAGAAAAAGCAAGAATGGCAGTGCATGCTCTCAGGAGTGTTTGGGCAGCTGCCCTCTCTGGCCTGTCCCTGTCCCCACCCCAGGGGTCTGATGGTGTCACACACTGCATATTCCTTGGTGCTCTCAGGTGGCCCAGCACTAACCTTGTGCCAAACTGAGAGCCTCACACTGCTCCTCTGAGACTCATCCCAGCACTGAAATGCCTCCTCTGTCCTGATGGGAGCACCAAAATGCACACACCACCCTGAGGATGAACAGACCCTCCTTGTGTGCACAGCTGGAATTTCACCTGTCCCTGTGGACACCCTGAGTTCACCTGCTTAGGGATGGCCCTAAACACTGCCAGGGACAAGAAATACTCATCCCTGTCCAAGAGAGGATCTACAGATCTTGGTTTTACTTGTTACACAAGTGCTGGGCTAATCCTGGTCTCCCTGTGCCTGTCAGCAATGCCTTTGTCAGTGCTCCACCTCCACCCAGCCTGAGCACATTTACAGGGGCTGTACCTCACCTTGGGTGAGCATGAGTTCCCTTTCTGGATGCAGGTTTAATCCAGATCTGAGTGGTTTTTATGGCAGGATCTCTCCTACCTCACTTACATGGTCTTTCCTTAGCAAAGGACATGTGCTTGGCACTTCCCCAGGGGTTTCTGTCAGCTGCACCCCCACGGGTCCTGCCACACTGCCCATCCTGCCTGGCACTCCTGGCATCAGCAACCAGGGAGCTTTAGCAAGAAAAATCTGTGCTGGCCTCCTGTGACACCAGGACAGAGTGTGTCTTGATGACCTCTGGGTGAGACACTTGTTTAGGTGGTGTTAGAGCTGCTGAATAATGCTAGGGTTTGAGGGGTTTTGACCAAATGAGAAATAAACAGTGTACCTTGTATTGCATAAAAGCAAAAGTGACATAAAAAATGGATAGAGTTATTTTCAAGGGGAAAGAATATTCCATTAGATATATTATGTCACATTTTGGAATAAATGATTAGTGTCATATTAGGAATAAATTATTTCAAAATGAAAAAATGGAACTTTGTTGCACAGCTCAGAATAAAAAGCTTAACCTTTTGGGGTTTTTATTATTTGGCTGAATCTTTCTTTGCCAATTCTGACTCAACTTCACAAGTAGTTCTGTTTGGCCTAGAAGTGCATTTTCAGCAAATGCAGTATTTTGCAGTGTTCTCTCTACACCTAATTGGTATCTCCTTTACTAAGTGAGCTCACTGGAAGAAAACTGGCTTCTTTAAGAAATTCAACACCACCTGCCATTTTCTGTATCTGAGCATTTAAAAGATGTATTCTAAAAACAGTTTTACACTGGGTTCATCTGTGGCCAGAAAACAAATGTTATTTAGACAATATCTTTTTTTTCTGGACAAACACCTGATTTGGTTTTTATGTGAGCGATTTAGGGAGAGCAATTTTTTAAAGCTGCTCATTGAATTAAGGCGAGCAGGAAGGGTTTCTGCTGTCCTGCCTGCTGTCCCTGCCACTGCCATTGTCTTACAAGGGTACCAGCCAGAGCACGAGTGGGGCTCAGGCAGGGGCCAGTGGTTGCTCAGTGGGTTGGGGGCACAGGAACACTGGCAGCAGGGCACAAATTGTCCATAGACTTCTGCTTCCTCTCTGTGCAGTTTATCTTTTTTTTCCAAATGTTAGTTTCTTTTCCTTGTTCATTTTTTGCCACCTTTGGCTATGTCATAAGTGACAGAAGGAAAATTCCCTGCTGCTTTCACCACCTTGCCCTGATGGGAGTTTCTCAGCTCTTCCTTAGGCTCTTCCAAAGAGTTATCTTGGCAAAACTCTTCAAAGCATCAATGGTTTGTAAGGAATATAGTGCTGTCTTCCTGAGCCTATGGTTTAACAAAGATAAAACCCCTGTCAGGGTGAAATGCCTCACTCAACACAGTGTGTGCCCAGTGCTAAATCTGAAGGGAAGAGGTGTAAGCAGAGGCAGCAGCAGCAGCAAATTTTTTTGGCTATTGTTTCAGCAGAGATTTCAGTGGAAGGTGCTCTGCCCATGAGCTGTGGATGTGCCAAGGCTCTGGATGGCCACACCCATCCACCAGCTCCCCCACCTTTGTCGGGGCACTTCCAGGTTTGTCAGGCCTGGCAATAATCAGAATTCCTCATCATATCACACGGGGTGCTGTGAGGTTGCAAGGGCAGCATCCACACACAGAGCTGGGAGAGCATTGCAGCCATGGCCCTGGTTATGGTCACACGCTTCCAGCCAAAACCAGGCAAAGCTGCTCCTGTCCCAGGGCTCAGCAGTACCAGGGACCTTGCAGAAGGGCAGCTCCAGCTCCTGGGAGCCTGAGGGGCAGCCAGGAGGCCCCAGGCTGGGCTGGCGTGGTGGTGGGCACGATTTAGCGATGGTGAGACAGAAAGTTACCCTGAGATCATTTTTCTTTCCATGGATGCTGTTCCACCAGCAGCTGTGTGCCAGGCAGAGCCGTCCCCAGGCACAGGGGGACTCCGGACCCGCCTGCAGCCTGAGCCCAGCATCCCACGCAGCCTGGCCAGGGATGCTGGGCTGTGCCGGGGAGCTCAGCAGGGCTTTAGGCTCACTATTGCAGTGTAAACCTGACCAGAGTTTGCACTTCTCAGATGCCATTCTCTGGGGTAAATAAGTGAAATAGAGTCAGGAGGTGAATGGTAAATATGATGAGGGCTCTCCTGTGGGCTGTGGGCAGAGCTGGTCCTGGCCAGGAGGGCTTTGCTTGCATCGCTGGGGGGGATGTTGGATGTTCAGCCTTTGCTTTTCTACTGTGTTTTATGTTAGCTCTTCTTCTTCTTCTATTTTTTTTTTTTTTTTTTTTTTAAGCAGGTAGCCTGAACATACAGTCGTCAGATGAAGGTGCCTATACCTCTAAAAAACTTTATATGCACATTTTGAAAGCTAGTTAATTTAGTTACCTAATAATAATGGTACATACAAGAAAGGCACTTGAGAAAAATCTGTCTGCTATTGTATTTTTGTTTGGGTTGGGTTTGTTTGTTTTTTTAACACTGGTCAGCAATAATTATTTTAGCCATATACTAGATAAAAAGACAGATGTGTAAGATTTGTGAACTAAGCTTCTAAGTTTGCAGGATTTTGATTAACCTGGGTATGTGATGAGGAAGCTATGCTCAGTAAAAGAGTATTTTGCAGCATTTAGATGTTTTCATTTAATTGCCTAATAGTGATCATGAACATAATGTTCTATAAAGCTCATCATGAATGACAAACAAAGCACATCATTTTTAACATTAATATATCCCTTGTAGTTGAAAGTTCTGAGAGTGTACTAGTGTGGTCTGCTATACCAAAATATTTAGATTATTATGAGGTTTTAGTACTAAAGATTAACATACACCCTGTTTTTACTGTTTCAAGTAAAGTTTAGTGAATGACAATTTGTTGATATACAACTGTGGGAAAACCACAGTGCTCTAAATGTATATTTTTATTTGGGTTTATTATATTTAGTATATGTTTCAATGAAAACTGAAGTGTTTACTACAGTTGGATCATTGTAAAAACATCTCTTACCTCATTTTGTCTGCTGTAAAAAAGTACTATCCTCTTTTTTTTTTTTCTTTTTTCAAATTGACCATAGACAGTCAATGTTAATATTTAGACTCCTAGTAGCGGTAAATGCTGGGTTTTATATCTATAAAATGAAAACTTGATTTTTTTCTTTATGAACTTATTATATAACTTTGTGATTTTTATCTGATTTTATTGTAACATAAAGTTGTTTTATGTAAAAATATATAGTTTAAGTAAAATCTCTTGTCTCACTGTCATCATTGACTTCATAAAATTAATATCTTTGAGGCTGTGAGTCTGAACTCAATGGAATGCTGTCCTTTGATCAGAAGAATGTGATTTTGGTCATATGTATGGTATCAAGACTTGGAAATTGCAATAACTTTTTCCAGTGGTGGAGCTTTAAAGTGTTTGTCTTGCTTCACTTTGTTCCATTAGCCTGGTCAGAGGGGATGCAGGATTAGTCATACTTATATGACTGGAAAAGTAGAATTTATAAATATTTGGAGACTAAATTTTGAATTTATTGAGTGCTGAGAGAGGCAGCTTTTAGTTGCCCTGTCTGGGGTATGCTCAGGACTGAAAACCCTCCTGTGACTGCTGTAAGTGATGCAGCTGCCCCTGGTGGTGGTGCTGGAATCACGGAGGGCTCAGGATGGAGCAGGGATGCTGAAACCCATCTCCTCACCAGCCCAGAGCTCCCCAGGTCCCTGCTGCGGTGCAGGGCACGGTGCATGCAGCAGCACATCCCTGCACGGGAGTGTTAGCATCTGGAAACACACATAATCACGGGATATGATCATCTGCAGGTGCTTTTATTAAGAGCTCTGGGAATCAGGGGTACAGACCCAAATCTGACTCTGACACGGCTTTCGAGCTGAACGTATTTTATATTCTATCGTTACATAACTCACATATTAATTATTAAACTTATATTGTTCTATTGTATACATTGACATGAGTTTCTCATTATCTTTCTTAGGTCACTGACCAGAGTTTCTCATGGTTATTCTTATGATTAAACAGTAATTATATTTAATTACTAAACAATCATCACATCTAACAACTATATCAATTATCATGTACTAGCTACAAGTGCAGTTCTAGCAAGTATGAGTTCTCCATGTGCTTAGGGTGTTTATTTTTCCAGGACCTACTAAGCTCATTTTTCCTTTTAACCCTTAATCCCCATGATTTTAAAACCCTTTTACTCAGTTCTCAGCACTCAGAATTCAGAATGCTGCTCTCAGCACTGCTCTGCCCATCACACAGGAGCAGGTCTTCTGTCTCTGTACCAGGCCAGGCTTCCCCAAAGGAAATCAGAGGGTTTGGGGACTGTGCCGTGGCTATGGCTCATCGTGCCTTGTTACTCTGGGCTACAAGGCTGCAAATGTCAGCTTTGGGGTGAGCGAGAAACTCTGACCTTTAGTCAGAGCCTTTCTACCAGGAGCCATCAATAGTTCTGACAAGCAGTACAGCAAATTCTTGCAGTCTCTGAATAACCAGGGGCTACAAACCAGCAGCTACAAAACCAGCTTATGTGCATCACGGTAAAATACAAGTAACAGTCTCTAATTCTTAGCAAAAAACACCTTCATTTATCTATTTGGATTTGCATAATTATGAGTGTTAGTACAACAGAAGTATCTGTGAGGACACCCCATCACCTACAATTAGCAGAAGCAAGCCTCATTCAGTTCCTAGCAGGCTGGTGGTCCCACAGTGGATATTCCCACTCATCCATGTGGGCACTGGGCCGTGCACAGGGCAGAGCCTCTGCTGGGCACAGAGGTGCCTGGTTGCTACAGCCACACCTGGCACTTCTGTGTCCTATTTGCCTCATTAAGCCCAGGGTACATTTTTAGCATCAGAAAGTCTCTGGTTTGTGGGAAGGGCTGCTCCTTGCCAGCTGTTCATAGTGCAAGTGACCAGGGGTTCCAAAAGAAACAGCCTGGTGAGTGATGCTGCCAGCAGGAATATCTGCTGCTGCTGTCTGCAAACCTTTAATTTTCGTGTTTGGCTGGATTCCTGCCAGAAAAGTCAGGGGCCTCCTCAATGGACTGTGTCCTTCCACAGTCAGACATTAAAAAGTGTTTTACCTGACTGTGGGCTGCTGAGCTGTGATGTGCCACCTCAGGATGTCTGATGGAAACATGAGGGGAACTTTAAATCAAACATTTGACTCTAAATGAATGAACTACCCTTTAATATGTTCTCCTTTTGGACACTTTGAATTCCTTCAACAGCATAGGAAAAGATAGGTCATAATTTCCTTCCTTTTGGAGGAAAACGCCCAGCATGGCACCATGGGGGAGGCCTGTACAAAGGCAGTACAGGATGAGATCCCTGAGCAGGAGCAGGCTTGCTCTCTCCATAACATGTGTAGATGGTGACTAGGTTGAACTTACATAAAATTCAACATTATTCAGTCCCACACACTTTTAATTTCCCATGCTTTTCATCTAAAGGCATGTCTGCACCAACAAGGGAAGAAAGGAAGATATGTTAATTATATATTATTAACTGTCTCCCCACTTCCTA